CAAATGAAGTCTGAACACACAGTCTGTGAGTTGGTGTTACGGACTCAATTGGGTCCCTCTAAAATTCCTATGTGGAGATCCTATGTTCCTCAAAATGTGACTGTATTTGGAGGTAGGGCCTTCAAGGAGGTTAAAATAATCAGACTGGGTCCTAATCCAATTTGACTGGTCTTTAAAGAAGAGGAAATTAGCACACAGGCACCTCCGGAGGGAAGACTACGTGAGGACACAGGGAGAAAATGACCATCAACAGGCCAAGAGCAGCTGGGGAAAAACCAATCCTCCCAGCGCCATCATCTCAGACTTCCAGCCTCCAGAACCGTAGGAGAATACATTTCTCTTGTTTAGGTCACTGAGTTGGTCATGGCAGCTCTAGCAAACAGTTGGCTTCTGACTGTGCGCTGACTTTCCAGTTAACTGGACAACTGTACCCAATGCTATCTAGTAAGTATTTACCTAGAAAAACATGAGAAAACACATCGTGGCTTTTCTGATGACCCAGTATAATGCAGCACCAAAGAAGAAATCCTCTGAAATCATTGGTTTTGACACCGCAGTGTCCCTGACACTATCGGTCATATTCGTCTAAGGAATACGTGCCCGGAAGTGCAGGACTCTGGCTCTTGTTCTCTTGGTGGCAGTTAATGATATGTCGTTGCCTTAGGCCACCGCGTAACCAAATATCAGTTTATCAGTATATACAATGGATATGATTGCAAGTCTTTTCTTTCATGAAGGTTATGATTAATGTTATGTAAGTGGGGGAAATTCTAATCATAAACTCAAAACTAATACATTCACAATAAAGCTGGTCATCTGGCTCTGCTCTCCGAAAACTGGTATTTTGGTGATGCTTCTCCCTTGTGTATCTTATGCAGAAACTATGGAGTGTGACAATGCAGGGAGAAAAAGAACAGGAAAATGTATTCACTGGATTTTAATTAAAATGCTCTTTGTTGAGTGTTGCACTTTTCCACAGTGAAAGACATGTATATGTTATAAAAACTAATTAAGACTGCTTTTTGCCATCAAAGAGAAAAACAGCTGGGTTTTAACATCCGAGTGTATTCAAGATCAGTGTTCACTGAGAAAGAGAAAATCCATAAGCATTTGGAGAAGATTTAGCTTGCTCATCAGTCATTAAAAACATTCTTTATGTGCCATGGAACATAAAGCTCATCAGGTTTAGAATGCAGCCACGATTCCAGTCATTCTAAGGCTTAATTTCTTGATTAGATACTTTTCTAGCTGACTATTTTAACTCTGAAGTTAGCAATGTGCACAATATCACCATGTATGTGTGCTGCTACCAGGCGGCGTCAGTAGGGCCCCGTGATGGGGCCGTTTGCCTTCTCTGACTTCCGGAATTCTGGCATAGGGTGGTACGGTGGTGACCCAATGACTTCAGAGCTTCCTTTCACCACCTCATCTCTGCTTTGGTTTGGAATCTAATTACAAACTTCGCCGAGAATGAATCTGCTAGAAAAGATTTGTTCTCAAAGAAAAGGCAGATTCTCACTACAGACTCACCGATGGTCCCAAAGGAGATTCCCACGGCTTAATCTGCCCTGCCCAAAGCAAACCAGTGGAAGGCGTGAAGAACAGTGATAATTTTAAATGGCACCTGGCCCCCAGCCCTCACAGCCTTTCTGAAGTGTCAGTGAAAAGAACTGAGTGGTCCAGAAGAGATGAAAACCTCAAGTTCCCCCTCCCAAATAGGATTTCCCGGTCTGAGGCCAGGATCTAGAACGCAATCCCATCATCCGTGGAGCAACAAAACACAACTGAAAATGAACACAATTGGCAGACCATCCATATTATGTTTCCAGAAAAGAATGATTGCTTCTAATTAAAAGTAGATCTGAAGACCCTTTCTCTCTCTCCCTTTCATGTCTCAGATGTGCAGGTGCTACTCTCTGAGGTGGCCCGACTGCAGGCTTCCCTCTCCCCCGCACCCCACCACCAACACCTCACATCAACCAATAGCCATTTGATAATGGCAGCTCCTTGAAAACAGCTGGGCAGGATCTAGAGGGAATCAAAGCAGCCTACTCTATCCTAGATGTGAAAATCCCACCACACCTCTGACTCCAGAGCACAGCAAGAAGCAGGGACAAAGATAGAAGGAGGCCTCGTGGGAGTGCTTCAGGATATTGAGACTCTGGAAAGTGAGGGAAGGAAAATACACTGGTCCCTAGACCTGGTATTAATTTTAATTTTTTCTTTTCCTTATTTCCCCTCCAGAAGACGTGTGTACTAGTAGAGAGACAGAGAGAGAGGGAGAGAGAGAGAGAAAGCACCCCCAATGAGGTGATCCCATTTCTCCTCCATTTTGCTATCCTGTTGGGATTTTGGGCACATATACACATGCACCCAGGGGTTTTGCAAGCCCCAGGGCTGGACTCAAACAGCATGTTTGGCCATGAGGGCTCTTTTAACAAACAGTCTATGGGCTGGCCCAAATTGCTTTCTTTCATGAGAGTGAGCGGCACACACACATACACACACACACAGAAGACCCTCAGTGGGTTTTATGCCACGACACCCCCACCCCCAGTTTTCCTAGCTAGCCAGAAGTGTGGGCATGCACACCTGCACACACAGCGTGTACAGGTTGACTTGGGAACTGAACCTCTCATCTTCTGTCTGAACCCAGCATCTCTTGAGCAGCACACCAACACTATGCCACCAAGCCAGGCCCAATTATAATGCTCTAAGTTGAGAATCTGAAATACCTAAATTGAGTCATTGTCTTCCTCTACCTCCCTCTCCACTGGCCCGGGTCCTTGGCCTCTGCCTGACTTTCTTCTTTGTGTGTTCTCTCTCCTGTCCTTGCCAGTTGCCTGCCTCAGGCAATATGTAAGAGCTTTGTGGGACTTAGGTAACTGAGTCTCATGGATAGGACTCAGACCCTTATCAAGCCTGACATTGTTTTGGCCCTTGGCATACAGGGACTGGGATTTTAATGCTACCTTAACCCTCAGGGACAATCCGTTCCTCTGGTTCTGACCCCCTTGAGCCCCACTAGCCCCAGGGCTGTCAGTAAATTCACACATGACTGCTTGTCAGTCAAGATCAGGACATGATTCGTTCATTTTGGTTTTGCTATTTGCTTTGTTTATTTGATTTTTTCCCCTTTTTATTCATGATGAGTGCATGCTGCACACATGTGAGAGAGAGAGGAGCACCTTCCACAGGGGCTGGTCATGCCAAGATCCCCTCCCTCCCGTCCTGCAGCTGGTCAGATCCTGGCACTTGGACTCATGCCTGGTGTGTTTCAGGTTGACCGACCGGGGATTCAAGCTGCAATCATCATGTGGGATCTGGCTTCTCTTGAACAGTGCATTACTACTGAGCCACAGAGCTGTCTCATATTTGTTTATTTATTTTAAAATATTATTTTTATCCTCCAAGGAATGTCTGTAGCAGGCAGAGTATATATTATAATCCTGTTTGCACAAAGAAGGTAAGTGCCTTTACCGAATGCAGTAAAAATACTAAGTGGCTGGGCAAAGCCCAGATTTGAAAACTCAGGTATAGGAACCATAGACTGTCAAGGCTTGAAAGGTCTTTAAAAGTCACCGAGGGACCAGCAGTTGGCGTAGTGGCTATGTCGCTGGACTCCCATGTAATTGGCCGTGGTTCAAGTCCCGGACCCGGCAGCTTAAATTCACACCAGGTGCATGTGCATGCATGCCCAAGATCCCGAGAGGAGAATAGAGGAGAAGGAATCACATGTGCTCTTCCCCCCTGGGGGGGGATTTCTCGCTTTCTGTCTCTCTTTCTGGCAAACGCATGCTCCCTATAGCAAAAACCTCTCCAAAAAAAAAAAAAAAATAAAGTCACTGAATCCACCTAAGTACACAAAGTTTGGATCTCCTGCATGCCATCCCTGCCAGTTAACTAGCCTGTGTTCGAACACCTGCCTCACATGACAGTTCAGTTTCATCTTTGCCCAGTTTGAACAGCTATTTGTTGAATCATTCTTGCACTTTTTAATTAATTCAGCAAGTATTTCAGAGCCTCATACGTGCAGCACCAGGTGTCTGTGGCTATTGAGGAACTTGCTGGAAGTAACTTTAATTGAAGATAGAAAGTGCAAAGTTCTGCGAGAGGGGTACTGACCCAAGGCTATGGAAATTGTCAGAAAATTCTTCCTTCTGCAGATCCAAAACCTGTGCTGCCGGGTAGCTTCCAATTTTTGCTCTTAGTTCTATTGTCCCAGCTCTAAAGAAACCAGTTATCCATTTGCTTTTTAATTGCCAGAGGGTGAATGCACTTGCCAGAAACAGAGAGGGAGAAAGCACCCCACAATGGGGTGTGGTCACATTAAAATCCCTTTCCTGTTTCTCTGTCCTGTTAGGAAGACAGCAGGTGGCATGGAGGTTAGGGTACTGGCTAGCTTTGTAGTTCTGGTCCCGGACCTGGCAGCTTGAAAATCAGGCTGGGCTCATGTGCATGAGTGCCCAAAATCCAGAGAAGAGAATGGTGAAGGGATTGCACACACACACACACACACACACACACACACACACACAGCACAGGGGCCAGGATTTGAACCATGGCAGGCCATGTGGGATCCAGCTCCCTTAATCACTAGGCTATGAAGCCAGCCCACGAATTACAGCTTTTCATTTTATTTTTAAAAGAATTATTTAATTTTATTAATTATTATTATTTTAATTTGCCATAGGGCACATGCACTAACCAGAGAGAGACAGAGCAAGAGAGAGGGAAAGTGAAAAGCAAGCTGCTAGAGCTGAGACTCAAACCACAGTCATCCATGTGGGAGTCCAGTGCCTTCACTACCATGCCGCCCACTGAC